TGTGTTCATTTTAGGAGGATAATAAGTTCTTTATAAGGAACCTAAAACAGTTAAGTACCGAACCGAATTGAATTTAAAAGCTACTATGTACAATTTTTAAAACGGTTCTATCAAATTTTAACTAGAATCAAACTGATCCCAGGTCTAGAAGAATGAGCTCAGGTCTACAAACATATCTAGTACTTATATTTTCATAAAAGTATAAAGTTTGTCAACTATATATAAACATAATAGCTAAAATCATTGTCCAAAGTTTGTTATCATTCACCAAAAAAAGATAATTTGGCGAACTTTTTCGGGACAGAGGTAGTACTAGATATGTTTGTAGACATTCATATTAAAATGTTTAATGATCAAAATACCCTTATTTAAAAAATGTGCGGTTTACACTATTTTCGATCAATTAAAACTATTGCACTTTATATTGCAGTTACTACAGGACATTACTACACATCCGATAAGAATTATTGCACTTCTCGTCAACATTATTTCTCTTTTCATCCACATTACAAATTTATTTATAGTTATTTTTTATTTTTTTTTAGAAGTAATAGCTTTAAATTAGTATTTTACGTCCAATTAAAGCATTTCGTGTCGGCGTTTTTGCTCTATTCCTTCAATTCACTCCGCAAGACACTTCCATAATGCATTCATTCACTGTCCATATACAACACTATTTAATGAAATGTTCACTGCCCATATTCTACATTACTACTGATCATAATCACGACACTTCCTGTCACCAAAAATAGAAAAAGAAGATTATGCCCACATAGTTGAGAACCATTGATCATATTGTAGGGCGTACACCACAGTGCTTGGAAGTTGTACCGCTATGAGAACCTTGAAGCAACATATGCCAACTGCCAAAGATGAGAACTATGATGCCACTAATGATCCATAGAAACTGTGGCCAAGAGAGATTGATCCAAAATCCGCCATAATCAAAGTGTGCTCGTCCTTATCTCGTTGATATGGATGAAGATAAGAAAGAGGTTGGACGACAGTGGCATGCGACTGGTCGTGGTGGCAGACGACTGGACGACAGTGTCAGGTGGCCGTGCGGCTAGACGGCGGACCGCAAGTGGGAGACTAGAGGCGAGCGATAGCTAGGGTTAGAGAAAATGAGTAAGAAGTTGGAGTTTAATAATACTCCCTCCGTCCCGGTCATTTCTTCCAACTTTCCTTTTTGGACCGTCCCAATTAATTCTTCCAACTTTCACTTTTGGAAAAAATATATGGTTCACATTCATTCAATTTTTTCTTACACAACTACAACCATACATTTCACTTTATTCTCACTATCTAAATTTGCGAGCCAAGTCAATTTAGGAAGAACTCACCGTGACGGAGGGAGTAGTAATTTAAGGGCATATTAGTCCATATAATTATTTATTTATTTATTAATATTTCAATTAAATATTTCGAATTAAAATAAGTTTTCAAGAAAAAAACTAATAAGGTCGTAGATTGAAAAAGTGAAAGAGTTTTAGTTACATCTAGAGCAATAAATGTTATGTTCACTCGAGCTCTTCACTTTCAATCTATCTCTAGAATTTCGAGGAAAATTGTCATAACATTGAGATGAATGCACATTATCTACTATTACATGCTTTAAATATCCCAACAAAATTTTGTACTGACGAGCTCGAAGTTTGAAATTGGCAAAGGAATTGTTTTATTTATGTTAAAGCATCTCTTATGCAAAAATGTCAACAGTGCACATATAACAAGAGAGAGATATACACAAAACAATAGTCAATAGAAAGTCGTACACATTCTTTCCATAGTGTAATAGATATTCAATTTTTTTTATTCACGATGTCAAGCACACCATCTAAATTTAGACATTGTGAATAAAAAATAACTAAGGTTTATACATACGGAAAAAAAGAGAGATGTTCCACTAATTAATTCTTTTGTGTTTATATCTCTCATGTCATGTATGTACCGTATACTTCTATGTTTATACTTCTATGTTTTCTAATTTTCTACCAATGGAAAAAAAGTTGTGTTGTTGAGAGGGACACAACGGGTCGGGGGATTTCTTTTCGTCATGATGTTGTCTTTATAACATCTGTTTTAGAATGTCTCTCTACCTAGAGGCTCTCCTCACGACGGACTATTCTCTAACAATGTTCGTGCACCATATTTTAGCTGCTCAGCCTCACCTTCTTTTGTCGAAGGAGTGTTTGGTTATTGGCCTATCAGCCAATTTTTGGCTATTTTGATCATTAATTGGCTTTTGACCATTCCAAACAGTTATTTAGTTGTTTGATTAATCAACTTTTTCTACAGGCTTCTTATGTCAATCCGTCAAAAATCAAAACTCTACTTAACTTAGCTTTTTGATTTCGGCTGTTTCACTTTGTTCTCTAAAAATACAGATTTAACCTTATCTTTAAATCACAGCTCTCGGATATATAGATCGTACTCCGTAGCTCCTATATTCAATTTACGTGCAACTTGGTTTGTTCCAAATTGAAAATTCACTTTTGTTATTGAAAGGACAATTCACTTCCATCTCTAAAAGCATGAAGACCCACTTATGTTAAGAAAATTTTTAATGTATAAATACACTAATAAATGTATAAGCGATGACATTAACAAAATTTAGCAATATATGAACAAAATACATTGCAATCAATATTATTACTTTTTATTACTTTTTATTACTTTAATGAATGCAAATAATTTAGGATAATATATTAAAATCATATCCAAAACCAATAGAAAGCTAGATTTGTTAAATAAACTAAAAACATTTCATCTCCTTGTTTGTGGGACATAAATATTTAAATATATTTTTCATTTTTGTTACACAACTTTTCTTGGAATATTTTTACCTATAACTACATTTATTAATCAAAATATCATCATACTAATAAAATTTATTAACTCGTGAAATGTAATTTCTATAAAAACTATTACTTGTGTTAATACTAATTATTTTTTTAGATAATTAAAATGGTTTAAGTAATTGTACTAATTATAATAAAAATAATAATTGGTGTCCTTAAAAGTCATTTAACAAGTTACCAGCTGACTATAAACAGCCATTTAACCAAACACTATTTTACAAACTGCTAATCTTATCAGCTAATCAAAACAGCCAACAAAATCTGCTGTCATCAATCAGCTAACACAATCAGTCAACCGCCAACAGCCAATTGCCAAACACCCCCAATATGTCCGTCCACCTACGAGCTAGGTACGATCGATGAGCTGGACGTGGAAGTGGGCCGTGACGGTATATTATCCATGGCCCATTGCACAACTATATGAATCCATTAGGTAATCCCAAATTTCAATATTGGTTTTATCAATCAACTTTTTTTTTACTAAATATGTAGTTTTGGAATTTACACATTGAATTGTTTAGAATCAAATAAATAAGATTGGATTGGCTGAAATTGATGAATAGGGCTATTTATCTTTTTTTTCGTATGATTTTTTTATTAACAAAACATTTACAAATTTAACTATTTCACAACTCAGCAAATTCACCTGCTTTAACCAAAATTTCATCAAATTCAACCAATTCTAGTGTTATTAAACAAGCTTTCTGTACTACCTTTTAAAAAAATATATGTAATTCATTAATCAAGTAAATTATTAGCTAGGTGGCTTAAAATATTCAAAGGGGGTGAGCCCCAACTAACTATACGATCATACAAAGAAATACCAACTCCAGCAAGCGCATGACTGCATGAGATTATGGATGGACTCGGGCCTGGCCGGGTCCGGGTCAGGCCTAGGCCCGAGCGGGCCGCCGATTCAGAATAGTTGGACACTTGGACCCGGGACCGGCCCGGGTAGCCATCGGGCCTGGTCCCGGTCCGAGTAGCCATCGGGCCTGGTCCCGGTCCGGGTCGGACCTCGGGCCACTTCCTTTTTTTAATTTTCTAATTAATCCCCATAATACCCCTCACCCCACCCCCCAAACCACCTCAAATGGCCCAAAACACCCAACCCAACCCTGAAAAAAAATGAAAAAACAAAAAAACTAAAAATAAAAGGCCCGGAACTGGGCCCGGCCCGGCCAGGCCGGTTCATCATTTGGCGGACCCGAGCCCGCATCGTAAAACCACCGGGCCAGGCCTACACGGACCGGTCCCTGGTCGGGCCAAGCCGGTTCCAGATCGGGCCACCCGGCCCGAGTCCACCTCTACATGAGATAGATACTCGATCGTCTAACATGTAATACATTTATTTTCAGAAAAAATTTCACTTTTGATCTCACAACTATTAGTCTCTTACTTTCAGATTGTCCACATTTAGTCTGTGACCATTATCCCCAATCCTGTCCCGAAGCCCAGCCCGATACTGTTTGGGCCCAACCTGGCCCAGTACCGGTACAAACCCGGGCCGGTACCGGGCCTGCAATCCTAAAGCCCGAAGCCCAGCCTGGTCTCATCCCAGTCCATCACTACAACCAATCAAGCCCTTTTGACCTGCTGTAGCAGGGTTTTTTTTTTAATAGAAGATTAATAAATCTTATAAAAATATTAGAAATTTAAAAAATAATGTAATAATAATATAAAAATATCTTAAATGTAAAAATAGATAATTAATTTTAAATTGTTAAAATAAAAAGATAAAATTCAGAAAACAAAAAAAATAAAGTGAAAGTGTAAAAAATAGAAAATATAATATGCAACTTTTTATATACTTCAAAATAGTATATGTGGAACGTACAAATAATTTCAAAATTTTCAAAAATATTGAGTTTGACATTGAAATTTTTTCACAATTTTTATCTATATTTCTCCAAATTTCAACAATTATATAGAATTTTTTAAAATAAAAAACATGCTATTATAGGTCAAAAACTGAATAAATGGCCAAATTGATCAATTCTTTAAAGTACATGTACTTATATGACACTTTTTTAGTACAAGGACCTAGACAATGGTTTGAAAATAGTAGAAGGGCTTATTTGACCCTTTCCCCAGGCTAATATGCCTATATATCATTACACTTCACAAGTAGAATTGTTAAGCCATAAAAATAGCCAACATGCTGCAGTTATAATACGATTCACCTAGATCTTGAGCAGTAGGCCAAAAACATTAGGGAATGTGAAAGGTGAAATTTGAACCAGAAATTAGGAACTGGAAAAGATGGAAACCAGGGAACAAGAAATTATCCCCTCCATCTTCATCTTCTCTTCTTATACAAATATACTACTCCATAATAATAATAATATGAGCTGGAGTCAAACCGAGTAATTATATCACGGAGATTTAAATAGCGCACAGTTGATACTACAAAAGAACATCTCTGAACAAGTTTGATAACCCGTCATTAAATTAGTAAGCTTGTGAAGAGTGCAGACACAAACACACATAACCTTTCATCTACAAACATCACCTATCTCTCTCTCTCTCTAATGTTAGAGAGCAATTAATGTCACAGCCATAGGAAAACAACAGTGTACCTTACTATTTGAGATCAAAACCGGAAGAACCCTGTGGCAGGTTGGGAGGGTACGACATTGCCACTTGTGGTGCATGGTTGTTTTGGTAAGGAAGAGCTTCATATGGATTCATATTTTGGTAGTGCATTTCTGAAGGAGTGTATTGGGGGTGGGTGGTCCCAAGCTGGACATTATTATAGCTTTGGTGATAGGCCTCTTGCTGAGCATTGACGGATGGAACAGAAGAGGAAACATATGCTTGAGGACTCCAATGCTGCTGTTCCACGGGTCTGTGAATTTCATTAACATGTTCATGCCCACCAAAAGAAGGTTCAGCAAGATTCATCCTTGGGGCATCAAGCTGAAATAAGGAACAAACTCTATACATCTTCACCTTGATAAATGATAAGAGCTTGTGGGGTTGCAGAATTTAGAAGGGAGGGGAGATTTATTTTTGGTTTACTAATTTATCTAGATTTGTAAATCTTAGGCTAGAAATAACTACTCGTCACCCTCCATCCCTAAAAATGAGTCATCTTGGAAAATTTATTTTTGTTCCAAATAAACAACAATATTAAATGTGTTTCTTCAAAAAGAAAAAATGTAACCCAAGGTGTGTTATACTTAATTAACTGACAGAAAAAGTTAAAAATAAAGCTAGAATTGATGACTTCTAACAGTTACACCTTGCTGAAATTTAAAAGTCGTACTTTAAGAAAACAAGGCTTTTTTAGAACGGAAGTAGTGTAACTTTGGTAGAATGATGTATTTCGATACACTGTCATCTTCACTAATAAAAAAAAATCACCCCTCCCTGCCACCCTTCAAAATCCCCCAACCAAGCATGGGGTGAAAGAATTAAAAACAAAGTTTTTCTTTTAAATTCCAAGTTTTTTAGATGAAATACATGGCCAACATGAAAAATATTAATCCAGCCAAAAAATAAAAGAAATTGACCTCACTGGTATTGCCCCATCCTGTACTAATTACAGCACCCATGGCACTGGTTGGAATCTTCGGCTCTGTAGGATTACTTGTATTTGGATATCTGATTCAGAATAACCAAAAAGATATCACATGACGGACCAGATACAACCGAAGTTATAAATTGCAATATGCGCAAGTGGAACCTAGCCAGAATAAGAGCGCCTAATTGGGAGCTGGGCCCGCATGGCATTTTCAAGCAGTGGATACATCATAAATATATGGTAGCAGATACCTTATCGGGTTTGGATGACCTGGATACGAAGGAGGGCCGTAGTCACGAGCAACATCACCCTTCACATTGGAAAAGTAATTGGTTATACAAATCCGTCATCATAAACTCACCCTTACAAAGAGACATAGCTTCAAGTGCAAGAACATAGTTTTCATTACGCAACTCGTCCAGCTCTGCAATGCTAACTTGTTAGTAACTTTAAGCCCATCCACTTTCATCTTTAAAGAGGGTTAATGAACAGTGGCTGTTTGGTAGCCACTTTTTGGCATAAACGTCTGACTTTGTACCTAACACTAATTTATTTGACTGTGTGCTCGTAATTAACTAACAATGAAAACGAGTACGTATGAGGTAATATTTAGCTGAAGATGCGGAAGATATTCATTTTAGCATCTTTTTTTACAAAAAAAAAAATCTTTGTTTCATCCAAACAAAAATCACACATAATTTTCTTCTCAGAATTTCAGCAAGTTTGTCAATATCATCCCAATTTCAGAAAAACCAGCTGTAGAAAAAAAAATCACCCTTACTACAATGGCTTCAAATAGCAATCCTCTATTATTTTCAGCATTACCAAAACTTAGGTCTCGATTATTATTATCCTCGGGGACAGGTTGAGTAAATAAACTAGTAGTGGGTAATGAGAAAACTTAAAAGTCTAGGGGACCGCACACAGATTTTCTTTATATGGTCATGCAAAGAATTCAAAGGAACCATCCAACCATGTGTGCATTTATTTGGCTAGCCCACTAGTTTGTGCAAGACAAACATATAATGCAGAACCAGACGAATGGAAGCCCAAAAAATTACCTTCCAGGATAATTACCTTAAAGTAGTCGAATCTACTAGAAGATCTGCCAGCACCTAAGGGACTAGGTGCAGGTAGACTGGGACCAGGGAAGTCAACAGCAGGACCAAATGCTGGGGCTGCCCTTGAGGGAGCAGGTTCCCCTTTTGCATTAGAAAGGAATCTTGTTCTAAGTCTTGAAGCAATCTCAGCCAAAGCTTCTTTAGCACAACCAACAGTTCCCGAAACCTGAACCATTAGAAGCACAATTCATATTGACATTGGATCATTTTGAAAGAATACATGGCATACCAGGATCGAACATATTCGTGTAAGATTCAGAGTTAGGTTTTAAAGGGGATGGAAGAGGAAGTTTTTTTTGTTTTTTATTCAAGAGAACTATATGGTTTATTGTAACAAAGAATTAACTAGGTCATTGAAATTATACTAATATATATATATATATATATATATATATATATATCCATGTATGTCTTTATTTTGAAAAAAAATCACATAATATAAATGCCTTAAATGGTTTTGAATAATGAAATAGACCCCCCCCCCCCCAATCTAACTTCCAAAATCCAAACATGGCCTTAAGTCTTGTACAATGGAAAGAAAGCCTTAAATGCATTATTGTGGGCAAAGATCAGGTCATATTTGGTCATTCAAAAAATATATCACCTGCACAAGTTCTTCATCCTTCGAGGCACATTTTGGTTTTTCATCCTTTGAGACAACACGAATGTCTGCCTTAGTCCTCCTCCTCATATCATTTATAACTAGGCCTCCTTGTCCAATAATGCACCCAACCTTACTTGAGGGGACAAGAAGCCTTGTCGTGATAATCCCCTTGTCAGAGAATCCACTAGTTAGATTCTGAAGTTGAAGGATTGCTTCAATAGTTTGAGATCTAGGGTCCCAAAGAGCCTGGAAAAATATTAACATCAGTGGTGTGACTGTCGGAAAAACAACAAAAGTTGTGCTTGAGGGAGCATCATCGGAAATCTATAATCACTTTTTTTAAAAAAACTGTTTTCTTGACTCAGAAGTCTGAATAATGGTAGATTAAGATTTCTATTTAAGCTTATTTTTTCATTTCAGCTCTTTTATATTTTATTGCCTTGGAAAGCTGACATTTTGTTGCATCCAAGGTCCCAAACAGAATTAATTATTTCTAAACCTCCTTTTCCACCAAGCTTACCCAAACTCTAATTCTAATTATAATCGATTATTGAAATAATCTAACTTTTTCAGCTATCCCAAACAAGCTCTAAACAGATAATTGGTTCAGTGGGGCAAAATATAACCTCGATCGATGAGATACGAATTACTCTTTCATCAGAATCAGCCAACAATTCCTCAACGTGAATACTTGCCCCTGTCTCTTGCTGCAGTTGTCTCACGTTACCTCCTCCCTTTCCAATAACCCCTCCAATCTTTGAATCCAGACATAGAATTTTCATCATAAACTCGGCCGGGACTTCTCCAACGCCTGGGGGAGGATTGGCATCGAAACTATCAACTCTATATCTAGAAGGATGGCTCTCATATGCCCCAACCGGTGGCAGACGTGGCATACCATTCAAATTATGGTTATGTCTAGGCCAAAATGGATCTCTGTGGTCTAACATATTTCTGTAGTCCAGCATACTCCCCATTGGAGGGTCAGAATATCTAAAAGCTTGACCACTGTGACCCACTGGATAACCTGAGGGAGGTTTGTCTTTGCGTGGATTTTGATGCAACAGTGTTGATATTTCGTAAAGAGCTCTCTTAACCAGATCAGGTTCACCAGACACCTACAAAATCCTATCAGTATGAAAAAACAATCTGATATGATGTGATCCAGAATATATGCACAAATAAATTGTCAATGCATATGAAAATAATTACAGAATAATAAATTTTAAAAAAATGTTAGCTCTCCTGTATGATGACTGATACCTTATGGATAAATTACTGTATATATAACTAGTGATTAACACATAAATCACCAATCCAATAGTGATATGATTATAGGAAGATAATGCTTCGTTCAGAATCTAATATATTTATCCAAGAGTTTGACAGAAGGGATTCAGAAATTTTTTAAGTCAAAGAGAGATTTCCGTAAGCAATATGTTACAGATTCCTTTTGGGGCATAGGATATCAAAGGAAAGCAGTCCGCAATCAATAGTGTAGCAGACTACAAGAATAGAAAGAATCATAGATATTAAATGATTTACTGATATGTTGCAACTTGCAATTGTTATTTTTGATTTATTTATTTTTTTCATTTAGGTTGCCATAGAATCTTTCCATCATTTGCAATGGAGCCACAGACACTATTTTTTGGCTTGGGATATGATGGAATAAAGCAAAATGGCTCACTAAACTGTTTGTGCTTCTTTGTTATGAAGAAGCACTCAGTCCATGCAATTTTCGACGCGCTTTTTCACTTTTGGTCATTCAGAAAAGTCTCTTTGTGCTTTAGTATAAGGGTAAGGCTGCGTACATCCGACCCCCTTACCCCACAGAAGGTGGGAGCCATTGCGGCACTGGGGTAATGATGATGATGAGGTGTTAGGAATCTGCCTATTTAGTATTTTTAATAGGGTATTTGAAAGGAGAAATAAAGGGGTTGGGGTCAGTTTAGTAATTACTTTAGCTATTTTAGTCCCTGCGTGGACTTAATGCTATAAATAGGAAAGGGGAGTAGCGTAATAGGGTAGACTGTTATTTTAGAATCAAGTGTTGCCTTGTTGCCTAAGAAGTCCCCGTTGCCTTTGTTGCCTACGTTGAGATATTTCCTAGCAATAAACATCATCTTCCCTATCATTTATCAGATCTGTGTTGCTTGTTACTGTTTGTGCTCAGATTATTACCAGGTTCCTATCAATGGTATCAGAGCAATCGCTCCTGGGGATCACAAGTGAAGTGCGACGGCAGTAGCGTTTCTCGTTTCAGCAACGTTGTGAGGTAGCGACTGCAACCTAGTTTTTTTTTCTGAAGTGGATGATAAAAACGAGATCCAAAATGGAACAACGCATGGAAGCCTTTGAGCGGGAGATGAGAGCTACCATCGTGAATCTCACTGTTGCGATGAATGAGCAAATCCAGAACAGCATCGCGACATCCATGGCAGCTTATCAGAACAGGAGGGACCCGTCCAGAGGGAGATCGCAATCACCGCATCACCGTTCCCCTCATCACCGTCGATCACGATCACCACATCACCACCGATCGCGATCACTACACAGCCCAGAGCACTCGAGAGGTAATTCTGTACACTCTCACATCCCTACTCGCAGAGTGCATACTGGTCGGAAGGTGGATTTGCCATTGTTTAATGGAGTATGGGCCTATAACTGGTTAGTAAGAATGGAGCGTTATTTTAGATTGAATAAAACAGAGGAAGACAAGGTTGAGGTTTCAATGGTGGCTATGGATGATAGGGCCTTGAATTGGTTTCAGTGGTGGGAACAACAGGCCGAGGAGATAACCTGGGAAAATCTGAAGGATGCGGTTATCCGTAGGTTCCAACCCGACTTATTGCAGAATCCCTATGGAGCCATGTTGAGCCTGAAACAGCCTGGAACTGTGGAGGACTATCGCGATGAGTTTGAGAAGGTAATAGCTACACAGAAGAACATAGACAGGGGTATGCTGAGAGGCATTTTTATCAATGGCCTCAAGGATGAAATCAAGGCTGAACTGATACTCTTCAATGGCAAATCTCTAGCTGCTACCATGGACAGGGCCCAAGCGATTGAGAAGAAAAATGATGCTATTTACACTAAGGGTAAAACTACAGAGAAACTGGAAGGAAGGGACAAGGGATCCATGAACTATAGACAACCTGTTTGGGGTGAGGGATACAAGCCAAAAGCTGGAAGTTCAGGATCCCAGACTGGTGGTAGAAATAATTCAGGACAGCAGGGCACTCAACCTTGGTTTACTCCCGATGGGAAGAAGGAAACTGAAATAAATTCCCCAGACATAAGAAGAGTAGGGCCACAGCTGACACAAGAAGAATACCAAGATAGAAGCCGGAAGGGACTTTGCTTCAAATGTGGTGAAAGATGGGGAAGAGAGCACTCTTGCAAAATGAAGAATTACAAATTGATTTTAGTGGAGGACTCCGAGGGAGAAGAGGAAATAGTTAACTCAGAAGGGGTAATCCCTGAAGAAGAAAAGATCACCATGGAATTTAAGTCCATGCAATTGTCCTTCATGAACCAGGACGGAAAACCCTCTACGAGGGCTTTTAGGGTGCAGGGGATTCTGAAATGGGCTAAGGGAGAAAAGCTAGTGGATGTTCTAATTGATAGTGGGGCCTCACATAACTTCATATCCCAGAAAGTGGTAGAGCAGTTAACCCTCCCTTATCAGACCATTGCTGGCTACCAAGTGCAGCTTGGGAATGGTGATAGGGTCTTCAACAAGGGCAGGTGTGAAAAACTCATTCTGAGCTTGCAGGGAGCTGTCATTCAACAAGATTTCTACATGCTGGAGTTGGAGGGAGCTGACTTGGTTCTTGGCATGGATTGGTTGACTGGATTGGGGGATGTGGAGATTAACTTTCAGAAGCAGAGCATAAAGTGGCATCATCTGGGGATAAGTCAGACAATTCAAGGGGATCCTAAGTCAAACTCTATGGAGGCATCTCTGAAGACCACGTCACAAACTGTACAGGAGAATGGTGTGGGCTATCTTATCTACTGGGAAGGCAGAAAATGGGATGGAGAGGGAATTCAGCTGAAGGATTCCGATTTGGAAAGAATTGAGGGGAAGAGGAAAATTGATTACACAGTTGAAGTTGGTATGGGAGTTCTTATAAGGGTACAAACTGGTTTTTTCCTGGATCCATTTAGAGCTGCAACGCCTCATAGCAGGACTGCCTTAGAACCCTTACATGAAGAGGTTGGTTACAAGGAGGAGGCTTCAAGTGTAATTCTAGGGAATTTTTATACCCAGTTTATGCCCCTGTTGGCTGTGGAAAATGTGATGATGAAAGTGAGAGAAATGAAGATCCTAGAGCACAAAACCAAGAGGTACTGGGAAGGGAGAGGTTCCAGGATGAAGAGGAAGTTCAAGATCAAGGCTGTGTCTTATTACCCACCTTGAGGGCAAGGTGGTTATTTAGGGGGGGAGTAATGTTAGGAATCTGCCTATTTAGTATTTTTAATAGGGTATTTGAAAGGAGAAATAAAGGGGCTGGGGGTCAGTTTAGTAATTACTTTAGCTATTTTAGTCCCTGCGTGGACTTAATGCTATAAATAGGAAAGGGGAGTAGCGTAATAGGGTAGACTGTTATTTTAGAATTAAGTGTTGCCTTGTTGCCTAAGAAGTCCCCGTTGCCTTTGTTGCCTACGTTGAGATATTTCCTAGCAATAAACATCATCTTCCCTATCATTTTATCAGATCTGTGTTGCTTGTTACTGTTTGTGCTCAGATTATTACCAGGTTCCTATCATGAGGTTGCCGTAGAATAAGGGAATTCATTGTAGAATCAACTCTATATATAGACACCATCCTGAAGGAATAAAGGCATGCAATTTTCACCCTAAACTACTCAGCATTGCCAAGGGCAAGTCTCATCTCATTTTAGCCCCCTGCCTTCTTTCAGTATTGCTCGTAAAAAGAAAATCATTCCCTTCTCCGTCCTTCCCACGTCAAGCCACAGACCCTGGACGAGGGCCTGCACCAGCACACTTAGCACAATACTGATGAAAGACTACAACAACAGTAGACATTGAATGTAAAGAGTGGCAAAAAGATGATATATTTTAAACTAGCATTTATTAAGACAAAGAAAAAAATGTGCATATACTAACCGAATGAACTATTCACCGACTTAAATGTTGAAGCAAACATACAACACAAGATCATTAGAAGGATAAGGAAATTACTTGAACCAACTCATCGGTAGTCATTGCACATGCAGGAAGACTCTCAGCAGGAAGAACACGAATATTCGCACCGATTTCAGTTCTTAACCTTTGAATAACATCTCCTTTTCTACCTAAAATGCAACCAACTAAATTGTTTGGAACAAGAAGGCGTGTAGTGACTTCAATTTCATCATCGTCTTCATTTGCTTCCCAAGCCAAGTCTTCCTCAATAATCCGGTCCTGTATTTTCATAAGTGCATCTTGAGCAGCACAGTGGGGCTGCATGGCCGCAACATCTCCTCCCTCACTTGTTGGATTCATATCATCAGTGTTTCTAATGTTTGCTGGTTTTGCCGAAGAACTAGAGACAATTACCACTCTTTCATCTGAACCAGGTACAGAGTCTTCAACTGTGATCTTTGCTTGAGTCTCTTCTCTCAAGGCTTTGATTATAGTACCACCTTTTCCAATTACACTGCCAATCCTTCTCGATTCACAAAGAATGCGATAAACAGTGTCAGATGCATTTGAGTTTTCCGAAGCTCGCCCCGGAAGGTGGTTATTCGACTTCCCCCTTTTAGGGCCACCTTTTTTCTTAAATTGAGGGCTAGAACGTCTCTTTAAGGGGTTTCTTTTACGTCCTTCCATCACTCAATCGTAACAAAAACGAGAGACTATATCACAAGTGTACAATTGGCGAAATCTACAATTTCCATTTCTTTCAGTTTACAGCAGATATTTCTGCAGCAGCCATTAGCACAACAAAGGTTGAGACCTGAACATAGAATTGTTGAGAAATGAAAGCACCAAGTGCCAACACTAAGTGTTATTTAATCCAAGAAGGCAACAACATATATAAAGAAAGCATTATGAAGAAAAGAACTACAGCATATAGCACACTTGCAGTGATTGACAGCCATAAATCCATCATATGACATACTTATAGGCCAGCTACAAAAATATACGAAGTATCATCAAAGTCAAATAAAAAATAAAAAACTACTCAAAATATGACTACTCAAAATAGGAGTAAACCCAAGGAAAAGTTCCAAAATAGGATTAAGTATGATTTATTCACAAAATAGGACTTATTTAGTCCTATTAAAAGAATACAAGAATAAAAACTTCCATACATAGGAGGGCATGAGTCTTATTTTGGGAATATAACAATGATAATCCTATTTGAGAAAATCTCCTATGTTTTACTCCTATTTAGGGAATTTTCTTATGAAAAAATTCACAAATTCAACTCTACAACAATCCACCACATCATATGAAAAATTAGATTATAACAAAAAGATTCTCACATGTAACTATCTATTAAAACAACCAGGTCAATACTTAAATACTGTTTTCAAATTTAGTTAAACAAGTTAGCAACCACATTGTTGTGATATAAGATATGGTATATTCCAGTCATTAGTGTTCAGAAATTCTTCAGAAACATTTATGGTTATCCAAATTCTTGGTGAAGCAAAAGAAATTTTAGAATATGCTTATCAAACATAAGCAATACTACTCGCCCTGTAAACAAGAATGCTTTCAAAGTTAATTATAAAAAGTCGCCAAAAGAGTTGTATTTTATAAAATCACATTGATATATTAATTAGATAACAGTCTTTGCGACACAAGTTGAAAACAGTGCACTGCTAAGGTTTGTGTAACAGTATTTCAGTAACTATCTTGTCACATCAAAGAGAAACTTGAGCTTTTGTTGTAAGCTCTAACCCAATCTAACTTATCTAAGTTGTTAACACAATAACCTAAACCAGATTTTACCACTTCTCATCGAAAGTTGGGTTAGAATAATGAACAATTGAACGTGCTTTTTTACAGCAAGACATAGATTAAAAATGAGATTAAATTCAAGATTATAAAGTGAAGACATAAGATTGAATTGGAAATTTAAAAATGAGATAAAGACCTGATACCGGAATGATGGAATGGAGAATGTTGTGCAGATTTTTTTACAATTATTTTGGTCCTAAATTTCACTAATTAAAAATCAGAAAACTACAATTTATTAATTGAACAAAAGATGGTCAATTCATAATTAAACCTGAAATTTTCTGAAACACACATCACAAAAATCACTAATTGAATCTGAAATCTTTTCTATTTTGGCCAAAATCTGAAATTTAATTGTTAATTTAGTTTACCTAGCTGAGTAGTGAGTCGGAAAGGCAGCAATAGGAGTGTTTTCCTTCCAACGTGCAGGGTCAATAGACAACGTGCCGCGGAAGAGGACTACGCTGTTGACGGCGATGGACGGGCCGCTACAGGAGCGATGAGGGAAGATGTTCGATGGCGACGATGTGTTGATCAGCTGGGCTGAAGGGAGCGTTCCATCCTAGATTTGATATACTTCTTCCCCTGTTTTTTTGAAGGAAAAAATAACTAAAATACCCCTATATTTTTATTATTTTTCCCTTTTTTTAATTCAAAGTTTCAATACGCAATTTTGAGATGAATTCAATTTTTGGTCTAGTGTAACATCAATTCTAAGATTAGCCCACAAATTTGACTTTGGCTATTATTTATTATGATTGTTGTTTTTTGCACATATATAGTCCTTTCTTCTATAATTTTGGTGGTTAAAATCGCTGAAATGCATCCAAAAATTGGACAGAAAAAGCACACATAGTAATAAACATTAGTCAAAGATAAAAAATAGGTTTAATGCACCAAACCCCCTTGTGAAATATAAGTTTGACACATTAGACCTCTGTGATTTAAGAAATGCATCAAACACTCGTGTTATAATTAATCATGCGTGAAACCCCCTCTAAGAACAAATTTTACAATTTTGAAATCACTTTTCTTAATAATATGTGCAAGTAACTTTATTAGAATTTCTAGATTATACAGAACAACTAATCATTTTTCATTTTTTTAGAAATTAAATTCATTCATAGAAGGGAGTTTGCGCATGAATAACAATAACACAAGGGGGGTTGCAGCATTTTTAAAATCACAGGGGCTAATGCATCATATTTATATTTCACGAGAGGGTTTGGTGCATTAAACTAAAAATTTGACTAAATGTGGAATTAACTTAGAACTTATAGGATCAAAAATGGAAGCAATTCCACAATTTTAACTATTAGTATCTTGATCCATAATATATAATAAGTACTTCGTATATGATAGTTGTCAAGCGACGCATGTGTTGCACACTTGCACCGTAGCACTTGCATCACGAAATCCTTATAAACATTGAGTTAGTTGATAAGTAAAAATTCGTATAAAAATGTGTTGGAAATAAATAATTCATAACCAATAAATTATATTTTTATATTACATTCCAAATTAAGACTATGTAGATAAATTTATGCATGAGAATGCAACATTTCACCAAGTCAAACACAAAACTATAGAAATACAATTATTATTTCACTAACTAAAAAATTCATGATGCTAAGATGTGTGTTAGTCTTATCATAATAGAAATATGAGTACTATTTTTTGTAAAAAAATACTTATTGTTGTAGGAAAGATATAGATATGTCTATTCCAATAGGTAAACTCTCTTTAAATAGAGGGAAAGTTAGGGTTATACAAGGACTCAGCCTCATGGGTCATTAGCTCAGTACATAATATACTAGTACATACTCTATCTATAATGACAGCACACTACAAGTAATTTCCTTTAACACTTCATCTTGTGCTGAGTTGTTGATAGATAGTTGCACTCTCCGTTGCCTTGTGGAATTGTCGTCAAGTAACAAAAACCTTGTGGGAAAAATAAACATTGACAAGAGACAAGAGTTCTTTGGGCTTCGTTCATTGAGTCATTTTGGATTCTTTACTTTGATCGATACTCGAGGTTACCTCATTAAAAATCTTACCAAGTAACAAAAACCCAATGGGAGAAAAAAAATGGTTTAAGGAAAAGCATATAACGTGAGGGTGTAAGACTCCCCCTGAAGTCTACACCTCCCCCTGATATTTACTTTAATCAAAGGATTTTAGAAAGCTTACGCATTCCAATGCTTTCACATGTTTTTCGAATGTGACCTTGGGCAATGGCTTGGTAAACAAGTCTGTTACGTTTTCTTCCGAGCTTATTTGATTTACTTGAATCTTGAGGGAGGTCTGTTGTTGTTGAATGTAGAAGAACTTAGAAGATACGTGCTTTGTATTGTCACCCTTGATATATCCTAATTTCATTTGTTCGATACAGGCTGCATGATCCTCGTAGATGCAGGGTGGCTCTTTAGTGGTAGGCTTTAAACCACAAGTTTCTCGAATGTGTGTAATGATAGCTCTTAACCATATACATTCACGGACCGTATCATGTAGAGCAATGATCTCCGAGTGGTTCAAGGAGGTAGCCACAAGGGTTTGCTTAGTTGATCTCCAGGATATTGCCGTTTGGGAACGGCCTTTGAGAGGGTCGGAGAGGTACCCAACATCAGCGAAATCTACCAAGACATCGTTTGGGGTTTTCAGGGGGGTGGCCATTTTGTCTTTGGTATTTTCCTTTGTGACCACAACTCCATTTGTAGTTTTCTTCGTCTCTCCATAGGGAAAGAACAGTCCCAAGTCACTGGTCCCTTTAAGATATCTAAAGATATTCTTGATACCGTTCCAGTGACGATGCGTTGGCGCATAGCTAAATCTAGCTAACAAGTTCACTGAGAATGCTATATCGGGTCGAGTGCATTGTGCTAAGTACAATAATGCGCCTATTGCACTTAGGTATAGAATTTCAACTCCTAATGCCTCTTCATCATCTTCCTTTGGACGAAATGGATCATTTTTAGGATCTAGACTTCGGCCCACCATGGGAGTGCTAGTAGGGTCCGCTTTATCCATGTTAAATCGCCTGAGCACCTTTTGGATATACGTAGACTGGTGGATTAATACTCCACAAACTCGATGTTCTAATTCAAGACCTAGACAAAATCGAGTTTTCCCAAGGTTTTTCATCTCAACCTCAAATTTCAAATAGCTTGTGGTTTCTCTTATTTCGTCAAGAGTGTCAATTATGTTCATGTCGTCAACATATACTGCTACGATCGCAAATCCGGAACTCATTTTCTTTATGAATACGCATGGGAAGAGTTCACTGTTCTTGTATCCCTTCCTAATCAAGTAGTCACTTAGGCGGGTATACCACATCCGCCCAGATTGTTTTAATCTGTAAAGTGGGTTCAATTTTATTGCAAATGCACTCCGTGGTTTAGAGTCACTTGATTTAGGTTGTGAAAGTTCGTCACGTACTTTCATATATATCTCTGAATAAAGATCCCCATAGATATATGCAGTAACCACATCCATCAATTGCATTTCCAATCCTTCAAAAATTGCCAAGCTGACTAGGTATCGGAACGTGATAGCGTCCATTGCGGGAGAGTAGGTCTCCTCGTAGTCAATCCCAGGGCGTTGTGAGAAACCTTGCGCCACTAGGAGAGCCTTGAACCTTAAGACTTCATTCTTCTCATTACGTTTTCTGAAAAATACCCATTTATGTCCTACAGGCTTTACACTTGGTGGGGTTAGCACTACTGGACCAAACACATGTCTTTTTGTCAGGGAGTCTAATTCGACCTGGATTGCTTCTTTCCATTTAGGCCAAACAGCTCTTTGTTGGCATTCTGCCACAGAGCGAGGTTCGATATCAACGGGCTCTATAATTTCTTGAGCACCTATAAATGTAAATATATCATCGATGTGTATGGAAGATCTTTCAATTAACACATATGCATTTTCATAATCCATAGAGATTTCCTTGTTTTCTAGAATCATTTCGATCATCGAAGCGTCCTCCAGTAATGATTCGTGGACATAACTATAATCGGAGATAATCTCATGGGATGGATGTTGTTCATCGATGATTAATGGATTAGGTCGTGTTGTACTCGTCCTCTTCTTCCTTAGACGAGTATCAATCGAACCAAGTGGTCTTCCTCTCTTCCTTTGAGGAGCCACGACCTCAATCACACCTCCACTAAGTGTGGTTGCAGTGCCTCCTACAATGGCACTATGCCCTCCCTTGGGGACTTCTAACCTTGCAGGCAAATTTACAGCTGGTATGTATGATCTTGTCACTTTTGCAATATCAGAAAATGCATCAGGCATTGAGTCTGCTACATTTTGTAGGTCTATTATTCTTTTCACTTCACCTTCACAGTGTGAGGTGCAGGGATCAATGAGACACTGTAGCAACACACCAGGATAATTCACGTCATTCTTCGGGAAAATCCTTTTTCTTATCTCCCCCTAACGACGTGAATGTTGTCTCATCAAAGTGACAATCCGCAAATCTTGCAGTGAAAAGATCGCATGTCAAAGGTTCTAGATAGCGGATTATCGTTGGGGATTCGTATCCAACGTATATACCTATTGGCCTTTGAGGACCCATTTTGGTGCGTTGTGGTGGCGCAATTGGCACATAGACTGCAGAACCAAATATGCGTAAGTGTGAAATGTTAGGCTCATATCCAGTTACCAACCGGTACGCAGAAAATGGTTGGTTCGCAGTGGGCCTAAATCGAATAAGTAAGGTTGCATGTAATATTGTATATTCCCATGCAGATATGGGCAAATTGGTGCGCATAACCAATGCCTTAGCTATCGTTTGTAATCTTTTGGTAGTAGCTTCTGCGAGACCATTTTGTGTGTGTACATGGGGAACGGGATCCTCTATCTCAATCCTGGTAGACATGCAATAGTCATCAAATGTCTTTGATGTAAATTCTCAAGCGTTATCAAGTCTGATGGACTTTATAGGGTGGTCGGGGTGGTGAGCCCTTAAGCGGATTATTTGTGCTAGGAGTTTCGCAAATGCAGCATTTCTTGTGGATAATAAGGTAACATGCGACCAACAGGTTGATGCGTCCACCAGAACCATAAAGTATCTAGATGGTCTGCATTCTGGATGGATTGGTCTGCATATGTCTCCTTGAATTCTTTGTAAGAATGGGATGTTTTGTTTTGTGTCTTTAGCATAGGATGATCTCGATCCTATTTTCGCTAAGAAGCATGCTTTGCATAATGAGTTTTGTAATGTGAACATAGTTAGGGAAACATGGGCTAGTTCTTCTTGTGCTTTAGAAGATAATTGTCCTTGTGGAGGAGCCGCATGGTTAACAGTTTGTACTGTGTTGATTTTTCGCCCTTCTCTATTCATTTCTCGAAAGAAAGGGTGTCCATGTGAATTCTTGAGAATTTGAATCATCATGTCATGACCGGGGTGACCAAGACGATCATGCCAAAGCCTATACGAGTCTGTGTCCAACATTTCATTGTTGGAGACCGCATATGATTCGAAGATTCGAATAGTAGTGACATAGAGTCCACTAGATTGACTTATTAATTTTTCTAATATGTGTTTTCTTCCGCTTTTACTAGAGGTAATATATAAGTATTC